TTTTCAAGTCTTCAAATCTGGTTAGCACTGATGAGCTATCCAGTCATGATTTCGAACAGACTCATGTTAATTTCCAAGAGGGAAAAATAGAATATTGATAGGAAACAAAAGCGATAGGAAAGGAAGGAGGACAAGACTTCCCAAGCACCATATTATGATGGACCAAACCCACTTTTCAAGTCTTCAAATCTGGTTAGCACTGATGAGCTATCNCCAAGCACCATATTATGATGGACCAAACCCACTTTTCAAGTCTTCAAATCTGGTTAGCACTGATGAGCTATCATGATTTCTTAAAGACTCCTGTTTATGTCCAAGAGGGAAAAATAGAATATTGAAAGGAAACAAAAGGGATWGGAAAGGAAGAAGGACAAGAGTTCCCAAGCACCATATGATGTTGGACCAAACCCACTTGGGCATATACATGTAATGTTTTGGCCATTTCAGACTGCATGTCACTCTCTTGAGAATAAGATTCTTTGTCTGAGTTGTATTCTATAATAATYATTCATGTGTCTTCTYATGTGCAACCTCTAAACAAAGAAATAATAGTCTAGGGAAATACACATGGTCTGAAATGGGAAAACAGTTCTATTTTCTGATCGAGACAACAATCATGGGAAATTGGGCCACAGACTACAATCAAATAATTTATTTGTTACCTTACATACTCTGATTCATGGTAGTGTATTGCCCGATTTCCCTGTTGCAACTGTTGTCTCAATCAGTGCATGGCAATGAACACATTGTTAAAAGTGTGTCATCCTAACTAGAGAACTGTATTTTGACATTTTGATTGTCTGCATCAAGTAATGATATACAGAGTACATACCTTTTCATCCAGTTGGAAATACAGTTTGGACATATTTTTCTCTAACTTCTTCTTTTCTGCACTTGACATACTGACTTGGCCTGGCTCTTGATTTGCCGGAATATTCAGCTGCTGCATGTCAATGACATCACTCTTTCTGTTGTCACTGCCTTTGGTGGCTTGTTCATCTAATGGGACACTTTCACCTGGAAGAAGATTTCCGAATGTTAGATTCTTTGAACACAATGAAGGAAGACTTGGTGGACCATGCAGTCAAACAGGGAAGTGCTGAGTGGAGTACTGTACAAGGGCTAAAAATAACAGTCCGTCTGTCAGTCTCAGACAATGTCAAGTTAGAACTGGAGCTAGTTACATTTATTGTAGGTAAAATCTTTTTCTAATCAGTCATCTTGACCATGAATAAGGTTGAGCCAGAAATGAAGTACAGTATGACTGAACTACTGTAAAACTAAGTTGACCAGTGATCATGACTGAAGACTGATGGGCTGTTATTTTAGCTCTATGATTTTTTTAACAGAATAAAGTGCTCAACACTTCATGGATCCTGCTGTTGTACAGGGGCAGTGAAAGAAACAAAACTAAAAGAACATGACATTTACTTACCTCCTCTCCATCTATTTAATTCTAAGTCATATTTCTGCAATACTGATCTCAGTTTGGCATTCTTGTCCTTTTCTTTTTCATAACGTTGCTTCCATTCCTCTGCCGTAAGCTCTTCATTAACCACCACAACATTCTTAATTGTTTTGGCTCTGCAGAAAATTTAGTAATTAACTTTAGTGTTGCAACTTGTACAGTACAGGCCAGAAGTTTTTCAGGGTCCCCACGGGAAATGGAAGGGCTCCGCTCGAAAAAAAATTATTTGGCTTCTTTTGGCATAAAAATGTGTTACATGGAGTGCAACCTTGTCTCTTTATACAATGAGTGCATTAGCCAGTCAGAAAGCAAGAATTTGCTGCTCATTCAAATTACGTGTGCAACTTGCAACATATATTTGCAAGAGAAATTGCAACCGAAATCTTGTGTGACATGGTCTCTTGCTACCTGCAACTATCTTTGGCTTTGGTCAGGTTCTTATTCCTGCTTTTGYATTTCTTTCAATACATATGTTATACCTTTGACCAAACATTAGGGTAGATCTCGTTTCAGCATCATTGAATGAAGATGGAGAGCAACATATAATAATCGTTGTCCGTGCATTTCCACCTAAATGAAGTAGAAGTCTATTAGTTTCTTAGACTCTTAGTCTATTAGACTCTTCATGACATGTTTCTAAGAAAGTATATAGCACAGCCCCCCCCCCCCCCCCCCAAAAAAAACATAATAATGGTAAAATTTAGAAAAGCTACATGTAAGACCTTTTCATGATCTCCCCATCACTCTATATTTATTGACTGAGATTTTTGATATTCTGTGGACTCGCCAGTTACAAGCTGCACATTTGATTTTTGGCTGCTGTCAATCAAAAACAATCAGTCRGTACCTTCTACACTGTACATTCTTGACTGGCGGCAGTAAAAAACCAATCACAACAAGCCATTGAAATGTCTGAGTCCGCAGAATATTGAAAATTGCAGCCATAAGAAATAATTAATATTGTTACCTAAACTTTCTTGTAATATTCTTGTCATTTTACTATCACGATATGGAACATGACTTTTCTGTAAAGGGAAATTGAAAAAGAAACCACAAATCAAATATTGTTTAAATGAGATATACTGCTGCATGCTATGGAGATTTTGCACAATCGCATGCCAGTGGCCATGCTAGGTTGCAGAACAATAACATTCCTTTACTCTGGGGAATTTAATCTCTCTCTAGTAAAATGTTTGGAAATATGGGGGGAAAATGTCCCTGATAGAAACTCTGATGTTTTTTCCCTTGTGTTCCTTTCGGCTAGTGACAAAATTAATAATAAATTAATTACATGCATTTCATCAATATTATAAATATTATTGTCCCTGCCATCTAACACAGCTGCCATCACATGGTGGTAGAAAAACCTTTCTTACTAATACAGATATTGTGCCAGCCACTTGTAGCTAGGATTTTCAATCTAGTTCCTGGGAACCATATAATTGAGCACTCAAATGTGGGTCTCAACTATTCAGTTTTGGATGCCAATCAATTTATTAGGGAACCCTTGCCAACAAATGTGAAGTGATGGGGCACATCCAAAAGTTAAAAATGTATTTGTTGGTCCTGTTTTGCACAAAAGTGCTTGATTTCTGTGTTAATGCTATCCCTGTTCAAGAGAGAATGGTAACCAGTCAATTCGCCCACGGACCAACTCGCCCACATATAAAATCATTGATCATGCGTTTGCCAACTCGCCCACACCAATTCGCTCACATTTAGAATCTTTTTAAGAAATTTGTTACCATATAAAAAGCGAACTTTTTATACGCCATAACAGACTTGCCTACACTAACTTGCTAACAATTGAAACAACTCATAAACCAATGCAAATGTCACTTTAGCCTTTTTAAACCTCAGATGAATTACTTCAAGACTTTTTTATCACTATTAAGTTTACTTGACATTAATAATTCTTATAACACAAAGTTTTATATATCTGTATTATCTGTCGAAGGACGCCTGACGCATGATCGATGATTTTATATGTGGGCGAATTGGCGTGGGCGAGTTGGTCTGTGGGCGAATTGACTGAAAACTGAGAGAATGCTTATGATGGTAAATATTTGGTAAATAAAACTTTGTCAACACCTTATATAATTACTAACAAGATAGCAAGATAGCATTAAAAAAGATAGCATTAAAAGACATTTTTGACTTACCGTTCCTTCTGCCAGTGCAGATATTACATTGCCTAGAGCTGACAATGATTTGTTAATATTCTTTGCTTCATCAAGTACAGCTCCTTCTGCATGGGTTTTGCTAACCTGTAAAATGAAGAAAATATTAATATTCAAAACGTTTGGGATTAATGGAAGGTTTTGAGYTAAGGTTGGTTCTAGTTGGGAGCTAACATCATTTCATGGAATGTCAAACTTGTAGGAGGACAAGGAAGTAAGCTACACAGTAATAGACTTGCAACACAAATAGTCATTACATGTTATACTGTAAAACTCTGCAGATAAGTTATCTCTAGATTTGAGGAACTCCTCCTATACTGTAGCTACTTGACCTCATTTTCAACTTWAAAAAAACCCTGATATTTTCTTTTCTGTTTCTTAATCTTTGGGATAATCTTTTACACAATAAAAAATCAAATTTAGAACGCTTCATGAATTCACGTTCCAACTTTTTTCCATGAAGAATCTTGATTTTTTAATGCATAAGAGATTGTTTTAAAGGTTTAGGACCTTGTATCATGAAATAAAAAAAATAAAAAAAAAAGAAAGAAAAACTTTACATTTTTGCCCTCTGTAAGGAAAAAGTGATTACTGGTATTGTAACCATTAATTTGTCATACCTTCTCAGAACCAGCAAGATCAACTAAATACAGTTTGCCACTCAGCTTCTTATTTGTTTCAACATTTTCTTGCTTGATATGCAGTAAAAATATGCTGTGACTTCGAGAGCTATGCTCATTCATATCTGAAAACAAGATAATATACATGTATATTCCTAAGTACCCAAGAAAATTAGAAACTTAGCATAAATTGTGTCGGCATACTATCATGCCTAAAGAGCTTTCCTACATACACCATTACTATAAGCAACAATTGTTTGTTCAAACATATYAACAGTAACTGGTTAACAAAAAGGTGACATTTGTATAACATTTGTAAACAGACTACTCTAGGACTATAAGATAAACCGAGAATAACTAAAAACAAAGCAATGCTTACTTGTCACAGCAACGTGTCGATTGGCTTTGCCTTCATCTATGATTTCCATCACTTCYTCAGGGCTGGACACGAACCTCTCGGTGGCACCCTGGTTTTAAGTGATAAATGAATCACACCAAGTAAGAATCAGGGGATAAAACAATAATTTCAAATACTGACAGGATACTAAAGAATTGTTTGTATGAAGCAGTGATTTCTGTTTCTTCAACAACTGAATTTAACTTTAAAAWAATTAATGATAAAAAGGTAAACTATACACCRTGAAAAGACGAAAAAACTTACTGACATTTCTTTTACTCCGACCAAGGACTAGCGTCCGAAATGTCAGTTTTTTTCATATTTTCACGGTGTATAATTTACCTTTTTATCATTACTGTTTCATTAGAAACACYGACACCGCTCACACTAGTTTTTAGCTAGTTATCTCTTTTCAAAAATTGGCTGATAGGGGTGTGGTGGGTTCAAATGCACCCCTCCTAGATACTAGTGCTCAGCCTTGGGTTACTGATTAATGTCATTTTATTGATGTTGCTGCTGATACTATTGCCTGTAAATACACGTTCAGCTGCTAATATAGTGTTATTTCACAACTCTGCTGTAAAATTTTCTTACCTTTACAAAAGGTACCCTGTTTTTGTCCTCATGAACTGCAAGGTTGGTCTTGGTGACTAAAAATGGTAAAAAAATGGTAGTCAGCATAAGTAATTGCATTCAATGCTTATAAAAAAAACTACCTGTACAATAACATATATGATGCCAAGATTTTTATAAAGCTGGGTAATAAAATATTTATCAGACATATCTGTATTTATAGGGAAGCAAGGGTGGCGTGCMCAACTAATGGGTRGCTTCTCACCAATRCAACCYGAGTTCAAGTCTTGATAATGATAMATAGATACATGATCTGATAAACATTTTATTACCCAGTCAAATACTATATGAGCAGTGAAATATTACTTTACAGACTGTACATCATAACAYRAARATCTTACCATCCAAAAGATCTCTGATTTTATCCAAATAAATTTCATAATAAGAAACCTAAAAAATGAGATATGAAATGTCAGAAAAAAGGTCACGAAAGCAAAATTAAACAATAATATAGAAAAAATATACAACTCATGACTGTACTTCCATGGATTTTTTTAAATTCATTGTTGTACATTGCAGTACTGTATGTTCTGCAGTGCACATGTGACTTTTCACAGTTAAAACGAGTGCTGTCTCTGGCAGATTTGGATGAAAAATATTTATTCTTTCTTCAAATCAACTTCTATTACTTCTTTGGGAAATTCATAATCTATTGCATGCAAAACTCTAGATCAAATGAAACAAACCTTGATGTGGAATTCTAGGTTTTCATCCATGTTGTAAATATGGTTAAATATATCYTGCACAATTCTTGGTATGATACCCTGATGTCGCTGATCGCCAATGACCCCCTGCAAAGAGGCAAAAAATTTAAGATTTTAAGAAATTCTAAGATGCAGAAGAGACTTTACAACAATTAATGCTTTGACAATTATTATCCTCAAGTGTTTGCTTTCTCATCCTTTTGTTTGCAATTAGAAATACGTGTTGCTGCATGTACATTAAGTATTTAATGTTAGGCTCTAGAATAGGGATTAGGATTTTTGACACTGAGGCACCCAGGCACTGAGCTACTACTGGGTAGGGGGTATATTGACATTACTAAATGTCCCATCTTCAATAACTTAAACAACTAGATTATTCATGAATAAAATGTTTAAAWWWTTTWAAATTTTTGGAGCATGAAATATTATGATTGTACGTATATATCTAGGGCTTAAAATAACAGCTGATCAGTCACTGGTYAWGATCACAGGCCAAATTAGTKTTAGCTTRRTCAWACCTCATTTCTAGCTAAACATTACASGCTAAAAYGGMCRGCAATGCAAAGGTTTGAYAGGACAAGGCCCAGTTCTGRCCKGACATTGTCYGATGTCCAGCCTCTATTTYAAGCCCTGATAAACTGTATCCAAATTAAGACTTTTAAWAAGCCTRGTCTYAAARTTCTWTAATAGCATATAACTRTACCTCCATAGTATGYGTCTTGCCACTAGATGTTTGACCATAAGCAAAGATTGTTCCATTGTATCCATTAAGTACATCTGGAATATAAAAGTTTGAAATGTATTTAGTTTTTACCACATAATMCAGCCTTACTTTATTCAGAAAAATATTTTTGATTGCAGTTCAGATTTACAGTATATGTAATAAATAATTTGTGCAGAACAAGCTAGTAGATGTACATACAGCTCAATTTCTAAAGGGACTTTCTCASTTTTATGAAAATATTTTGATTCAAAAAAGGGTTTTTCAGGAGTTTTGAAGTATGTTTCCAGATGGCTCTTAAGTATGACAGTAAACAAACAGAAGTTTGTTGATAAACCATCTGTTGTATTAGAGTGAGTGGTACTTATATAGAATRGCTAATTAAGGGCCACCAATGTACATGAAACAATAGTAATTTTCTCTTCTTCATGCAATTGGCATCAATCCCCACTTTACTACAAAATTAAAGTAAAAATAAAAATAGGCTGGAATAGACATTGCATGTATCTATTGGCTGAGTTTATTGGTTTATATTTGTCTGGGTAGTGTAGAGAAGAAGTCTTTCTTTAAGGGACCTTTGTCCTGCTGATTATGGACTGGACATAATTTAGACCATGGACAAATTATATTCCTTATACAAGCCAATACCATTTTTCAAGATAGCAAATTATATATATATATATATATATAAATAAACAAACTTTCATAATAACAATTTTTAAAGCATTTTTTCATTATAAGAAAGAGATTCTGTATGTAAACATAATTATAGTCATAGATATTAGTGTTTACTAGAAAATACGCTACTTGTACTGTATTTTTCATACAAAATTACAGTACATCCAGACCCTTAGTGACATATTTGCCATATCCTCACACGTTAAAATATTAATAACGTCTTTTTCAATTTTCTCTCTCTCACTTTAACAGGTGTTCAACAAGTTTTTGTTTGTTGGCTTGAGAATATGAAGTTTATCTTCTTGCATTGAAAAATATTTCACTCGTTCTCTGTGCTAACTCGTGAAATATTTTCATCCCTCGATAATAAACTTAATATCTTTGTGCCATAGTGTAATATCCTCTATATGTGCTGCTCATTTTAAAGTACACTAGATGCATGTAGGTGCAGAGGAGTGACTAATCTAAAACTTTTTTTCATTTCTTGGCTTCTAGTAATAAGGAAATCCCTGGATAAGATCAATGGTGAAATTCAATATCTATTGTTGGGATTACTCATTTGATATACATCTTAGCAACTGTCATTTTCCAACAAATCAAAGGCATTTTTGTGTAGTTTTAGTGAATCACTAAGTTCATTAATTAGTTTGTGTCATATGTTTGGTTTTATGCCTATGTCAAACAATGTCAAATTTCTGAATACCTTGACCTTATCGYTATATTCACTTGCATAAGCCAAACGATTTTGAAAGTTGTGTTCATAAAAATGTCAAGAAATATCGATGTATGAAATAATTTGTTAGAGCAGCACATGTATGTTAACTACCAGAGTTTGAATTTATTTGAACAAAAAGAAAAAGAAAAAGAAGAAAAAAAAAAACAAGAAAAAAAACAAACAAAGCAGAAATCATGTTTCTTGAGAACAAAGTGCAAACATGAAAATTAATTTTGATAAACTTCAAAGTTCAATTACTTCTAGAACAAATAACTAGACCAAATATGAGATTTTTGAGTCAATAACTTCTAAGCCAAGCATGAAAAGAAAACAAAATGTTCACAATCTTCTAATACCAATSCACAAAGTGTATTCAAGGGTGAGACTACAGTAGGTGTTCCAAATTCTTGAAAATTTTCAATCCATAAGAGCTACTGTATTTCTAACTTTTGATCAAAATCAAGAACAAAGCTAATAGGATGGAATTCTTATATCCTAATAAAAATAATTTTGAGATTATCAAAACCAAAAACCTGAAGACCATTTTTTTAATAGCGCRGCGCAACTGTGACGTCATAAAAACGAAGACAAAGTCGAAATTCGGACAAACAAACTTACAAGTTTACTTTCAGCAGATAATTTTCACAGCCGATAGCAGTTGATCTTAGTTTACATGGGTTATTATTGTAACTTTTAGTAAAAATAATAAAATCAGTTCGTATAATCCTTGTAGCAGTTAAATAGAATGCAAAGTTTGTCTGAATCTTTAAGCTATTTTTAGAATCAGTGTGTGCTCCGCTATTTGAAAGCTTGATAACAACTTAAAAACTGAGTATCCCGTACAGCTGTAAGGAAAGGCTCACTGATCATACTGGATAGTAGACGTTTAATACTCAAATGACACATCCTTTCCAGACAAATGTAATTTTACCACTCTAGAACAAGATGGTGAGGCAAATGACCCTTATTAAGATAATAAGATGATAAGATTTCTACTTGAAAATAAACTTTTGAGTTTAATTCTGTGAGAAAGTTCTGATAAACTAGTAGTTTTATAGGAAATTTGCCTAATAAACATACTCTTGGATTCCATCATTTTGTCACTGATATTTGTCAAGTAAAATTATGGCAATCATTGTTCATTTTCTCTCTGCAATGAGCTTCAACACTAGATCATGTAGTCAAATAAAGATTACAGGTCATAGATTCTAAAGTTTCAATTTTTATTCTCAACCAACAACATTTCATTTTATRAGAGGGGGATAATAGATACGATAATATTTTAGAAAGTACAAAAATTATTAAATGTTGCTATTAACAGATAATAATATATCATGTAAATCCATTCATTCATTTATTTATTYTAATATATCATGCGATAAAATGCTCTACATATCTAGAAGTAATTAATTGCAATAATAATTAAAGATAAAACCTAATTTGCAGAAAGCCTGGTTCATTTGAAATACTTTCAAATAATTCTGATTGATAATCGAAGTTTATCATTCATAATTCAGCTTTAATGAATTWTTGAGGTGTAAACAAAACCAAAATTGAATACAGGAATACCATATTACCTGAGTCAAGGTACTGGTATACATGTATCTAGATTTTTATATTTTGCTATATTCATCATAAAGAATGTCCACGAAATGATAACAAAACAAAAGGAATTATTGTAAAAAGGATTAACCACAGATGGGGTTACTGATATATAGAAAATAAAATAAAAATTTATTGTTTTGATGGAATAGGAAATAATTTTCAAAATTATTGCTTTCCTTTAATGATTTCATAAATATATAATATACCAGAGGTGAGTCTGAAAAATTKGTTCAGCACCAATGCATTCCATGGATTTAATTAAGCAAACACACAATACAATTGACATCAAATAAGACCATGTGCCTGTAAATTTTTTTCCTTGTTAACTTGCAAATGAGTATGAATTTGGATGGATCTAGATTGCGTACAATGTACCTGCATGCAGCCATTACTTAGCATATACATGACTTGAATAAAAATTAAACACAYTCAATACCCTATCTTGGTTAAAATAGTCATGCCAATTCAAAGTTTTGGTTAACCTCAAATTGTTCTAGATCTGGGAACATTTTGCATACTGTTGAAAATTGGAGACTCAGGAAGCSCTTGTATAAGTACTGATATGAATGACTTCAGCTGTATTATCCTACATATATGATAAAATATCCTACACTAAATATCCTGCACTTGATGTGTGGGTGTAGAATTTCTAGGTGGAAACAGGAATTTGGAGGATGATAGTGAAATATCTTAAGGATCTTGTCGAAGTCGAAGAGACACATACGTTTTCAATAGTGCTCATCATCATAATAATTGCTTATTGTTTGCTCAGCGTGTAAGCATACGAAATGTAAATATATTTAAAATTCTATTTTTCATTTCAGCCCTACTATATTAATAATTTTCTCGAAAATATCCTAGAATAGAGAGCTGTAACTAAATTAGAGGTACAGTCGAATGAATTAATTATAACGAAAAAAAGCAAGGAATACACGACCTGTTAATAACAACGTAATATCTACACAGCGCTTCTCTTGAAAACGGAATAAAATGTACAAGGGACTATGAATTCCAARTCTATTTCAATCCCGCCTTTACTTTACAGAATATCATCAAAAATGAGCCAGGATTATAAACAAATTAAGCATACTAAAGAGTAAAGATGACATGGCCAGTGATATAAGAGGAATATGAATTTTATAATATCAGACCAGAATCCAGACAAGAAACTGCATCGTAATAATTATGTGAAAACAAATTCAAATAAATGGGAGTAAAAATTATTTCAATTTGAACTCAAATCAAGAAAGGTGATCATTTGATGCTGAGTTTAATAACGAAAAAGCAAGTTATGAAATATTTCATTCTAAAACTAGTAATGAATCAAAACGTTTCTAGAAGAAAAATTTGGAATTTTGGGCTTGACATAAGGTTAATCTCTCTCAAAAGTTTCTGTCTCTGGAATCCCCAGTTTAAACCTAAGAATTGTCTTTCTTAGGCAAAATTACTTACATATATGCAATGGAATCCGTCAATAGCTTCATAGAATACAGGAAGTACGATTTTCAATTTAGTTCCTAAAACGATTTCATTGTAAAACCTTACCTTGAACGATCGCCTGCGCCGCTTCCATATAAACTTTTTCTTGAGTTGAGGTTGGCTTGAAAACTCGATCAAACGTAAATGTACGACCCTGAACAAAAAATACGAGATGTAAACTGTCTTGAGACAGCTAAGGACCGAGAATTTTCCACAATCATTAAAAGAATTAGTTGTATTTTAGACGTATTCTTTACCGAATGTATCACTGTGTCGGTTGTCGGGAACTTGACGATCATTTCTCCTCCAACCCTTGTTTCAGCTTCGGATTGGGGTCGAAAACGACTGAATACCTTTATGGTACATTCTGATGGCTCTGGTTGCTGTTGCTGCGTTTTATCGCCCATTATATACCACGTAGAAATTACCAACCGAAGAAGAATAAAAGGCCTTTATCGAGTACAGTTCAAGTCTTATATCGGAATTATTCACTACATCGCCTTCCAAATTTTAAGCCGGTTCGGATTCCATTCGCCCAAAATTCTTAATGAAAAGTCTAACTTGGTGTTGCTAAAGGGCCTTCCTTTCCTTTGTGAGTCTATTTTGTTGTGATGACTTGAAAAAGTGCTATTTTTTGGCCATTTTTCTTTCAACGGAGGCAAGATCTTCACATCACGTTGAACTCCCAGTCGGCCATTATCACACCGCCTTGCCGCAATGCATCTTGGTTCGGAATGTTGGCAACGTTGCACTCGTCAGAAAAAAATGATTGTTTCTTTTACCGAAACCTGTCAATCAAAACACACCAAAACTAAATATCAACAAGTAAACATTCGGGAYTAAAGCACCATTTTTGGACATCTCTTTGATCCGGATAATGTTTCATTTATGTGAGAGGTTTTCTTTTCTGTGAATTATTTTAGCATAAATTGCGTATTGGATAAGTGCTATTTCTGCTTTATTGTAATATATCGAAAAATATTGATTCGCCAGTTGATCATGAATGCTTTAGTGACGTACGGTAAATCAAATCCAGGTTTTCTCGGCTGGCTAAAAATAACGTAGATTTATATTTTGCCTGCTCAGCTCATCTGGGAATATAAGCACGGGGTGTTCCAAATACTACGGATCTTAGTTTTGCCCATTGAGAAATGAACTTACACCCTTCAGTGTTCAAATGATCAATATTGGGTGCTGCAATTGTCTTCAAAATAGCTTTGTTCAAAAAAGAAAACGGAATTTCGTGACAATAGCTTGTTGAGACTGCAGTTATAATTACTTACTACTTCTGCCAATAATCTCATCAAGCCACACAAAAAAAGTTATTTGCATATGTAGATGAGTGAAGTATGATATTCAAATTATAGATGTATATATTCTAGAAGATTCATTTATTGCAGGGTCATAACCCTGTATAAACTATCAAAACAAGAAAAGGAAAGGAAATGGTGCTGGATAAAAAGGGAATGCATAAGTTAAGTATTGCTTTTTTTCCCAGTGGGAGATCACGTTCCCAGGGGTACGAAACGCGAAGTCAAGAATCTTGTCTTAGTCATGGAAACCACTTGAGTTGGGAAATCATCGGCGTATATTAACTACTTTCGATATAATGATTTTTATCAACTGACTAGCTATACTTTTTATCCCACTTTTTAAGTTGGATTCGAGACGATCGAGTTTCCGTTAAAAAAAGATTAACATTCGGTTATTCGCGGATGACAGGTGATATGTACATATTTAGCGCAGCGACCAAGCATTCATCTTTGGATGGTTACGTTTTATCCAAATATCATGCTGCTTAGATGAGGCTTTAATTATAACCTATTTTGTTTTCACATTTCGATTGTCCTTCTCGCCTGATCATATGACCTCTGTAGGACTCTTGCAATCATTGTTAATGGTGAACAGTTTATAATTGTTGTTTGTGATCAACTGGTACCAGTAGATTTATAGTGTTTTATATAAAGAAGGACATCCCAAATTAATTTTTAATTGTGCGACAATGAAAAGTACTTAACTAAGGTTGCAAACCGGCGTCATTGGACTTGCTGTGCTGGTGGGCAATGAACTGACCGGGTACGAAGTCACCGGGTACAAGTTTCCCGGCATTATTTGTGAACAACAAGTGTCAAATATCATATGCTGTTGCGATATTTAGAAAAAATAATAAGTTAGTATATGTTAGTCCACTATACGCACCTTACGAGGAAAAAATAATAATCGGATAAACACGCGGCACGCACAACAATAAATAAAAGACTTAAGAAAAAAGAAAAAGAAARAAAGAAAAGAAATGTAAAAAGAGAAAGTATATTTTATTGCATTTTGATCGTTTTCCCCTCTCTCGTTTGCGTTATGGATACCACTATATATCTTGACCTTTTAAAATTTTCACCAGTTTCCCTTTGTGATCTAAATTAAATTGGGCTCCCTGTGATGGCTCAAGGTATTAGGGGCTAGGTTTTTTCAAAGGGGCTTGTCATTGACACCAGTTTTAGTGAAAGGCAGTTTAAATCATTTTGGATACAACTGCGCAAATATCAGTAAATTAAACATAATCAACCAGTTTAATAAAGAATATGAAATCTGACCAAACGAAACGAAATTCTAAATTTTTGTATCAGTCAATTTGAATTGAATATTAGTCTGCGCTTACATATTAATTAATGTTCTTGGGTTCACAAGGGAAGGAAGCATGTACACTTCTATATCGATCCGCTTCTGCGTAGCATTCAACGACTCTGGCTCCTGTTACAAAACTTTTGTAATCACAGTTAAGTCTAATCAGGGTACGATGGATTGTCACATTGGCTAGGAATCATCGGCACCTTAGTCAAGTTGCAGGTCGCGTGCAGTTCACGCTAAAACTTCTTGTGTACAGGAATGCAGGAGTTGCCTCTCGGGTCTACTTTTACAATATGTACTACTGGCAACACAGTTACATTGCAGGGGCGGATCCAGGGGGGGAGGGGGATTTGGTGAATTTTCACCCTCCTTTTCTGAGCAGTTATGTCTTCAAATTTCATAATTAAGTTGTTATCTGTTATGTTTGGGGGTGGGGTGTGTGCAAAAGGGAAATGATTGATGAGAAATAATAATTTTCAAAATTGCATTTCTGTGGGCGTCAACTGATAATTATCATAAACAGCCCTAACCAAATGCAATGTTATACACGCTGATTTGTCATGCGCATGTTTACGCGGTGAAAAAGTATACGATCTAGTGGGAATCAAGTGTTGTGAAGGATTAAGCTGGATGTATACGAACTTGAATATCAAAAAATAAATAAATAAAAATAGAACAAGAAAAAAACCCAGCAAAAATTATTTTAAAAAAGCCCCGAAAACAACAAAAAGACAAGTGCTTGAGGAAATAAATCCATGAAATCAATTACAGCATTTTACAACACCTGCTGGTGCTCACTTTTAATCACGTGAGCATGCACCCAGAGCAGTAGCGTGGAACTCGTACATATTTTCCCATTTTAGTTCACGTTTCAATTCCTTCAGGATTAACACTTGTTTTAAAATGGTAAAGTTGCGCATTTATAACGGGCGGTACGTAAAACCACGACCATTTGTCTCACTCCACTTTTAAGGTACAAAGCTCCTTTAACTTGAACAGTATGAAAGAGAGACATTATTTTATCTCTGTTTTCTTGAAATAACTGTACTGCCTGTCCAGGGTGGAAGTTGAGTAGTCAACCACTACACTCAACCATTTGTAAAATTAATAGACCTTTCTCAAATTCTCTTGATTAGACAAAAGTAGTGGTGATTAACTTGAAAGATAAACACAATAAAATTTAAGTCTAAGACTAGAAAACAGAGGCTCCAAGCCGAGGTTAAAGTTGGACTTGGTGTGTTCACAAAGGTGGGTCCAGGGGGTTCCTGCAGTGCTCCAGACACCCCCCTAATACCGTAACACTTTCATGCTTTATTGAAGCGTGACTCGTGAAAGGTCTATTAAAAGAAACATTATTTTACAATGCATTTTATCTCTAAGTACATTTATTTTATTTGGGACACCACCCTCTGCCCCTGGTTCATACATGGATTTTATCAAGGTCAACTTAAGTTGACTTGGTGCAATTGTTTCATGTGAATTCAGGTCTGTATGAGCAACATTTACAAGGTGTAGGTACCCAACTCTGCCATTCTTATTTGGACCTTTAGCTTTTGCATCCAAAATAACAGTACTAAAATTCAAATGAATTATTAAAACAAGTTTAATGCAATGTCTTAAAAATGAAATAAAGTTAGGTTGAAGTTCATGGTTTTGTTATTTCATTCCATGGGCTTTCTTTAACTCCTCAACTTTTTCTATATACAGTTTTTCAGCTTCTTCCTTGGCCAATCCTTAAAGTAAATAAATTAAAATAAATTCAACAATTTTAAATACAAATAAATTATTGGAATGATGTACTTGGTGCACTACAAAAACAAATGACACTTGTATTACACTGTATTCCAATTACTAGAATTTAAAAAAGTTCAATCATTTTTCCATGTTTGGAAAGAGCACCTCCATATTAGAAATGCAGAACAGTGAATTTCTCCATTTAGCAAGGACTGCAGAATGGAGCACCTTAAAATGTTTGTGTGCATCTGTGTTAGGGGGGGTGCGGTGGGGGAAGAGGGGGTAAAATAGGACATTTGCATGATGGCATCCCACTACCACAATGCTTTGCAAATTTCTTTCTCATTTAAATTTGTATTCCCTTATGTAAATTTGTATTCCCTCAATAGTAAGRCAATTGGTGCTAATATTTATTGCAATTGAACAAAAGAAAGTGTGCAAGGGAGTCTGGTAGTAGAGGTTAATGATGCCATCATGCAAACGTCCTAAGGCTCATAAATTGAAAAAATAGAGTAGAATACATAAGATTAAAATTTGAGGGGGAGGGGGATGAACTCTACTAGTATACATTATTATGTATTAGATCAGGGCCTAATAACAGCTGATAAGTCACTGGTCATAATCATAGGCCAAATTAGTTTTAGCTTAGTCATACCTCATTTCTGGCTAAACAATACTGGTCAAAATAGGCGGCAAGCCAATATTTGACCAAACAAGTCCAAGTTCTGGCCGGACATTGTCCGATGTCCAGCTATTAATTTAAGCTCTGTTACTAAGATTGAGAACATGATTCCTGGAAGAGCCTTAGGCATTCTACCTTATTTCTATATCATTTTACARTTATACCGTGAAGTGATGAAAGTGTAAAAGTAAAAAGGGCACAACATAGTGWCCATAGAATTCAATGTTTTTTAGTACCTTTCTTGGCATTCCATGCATCCCATTTGGCTTTGCCAGTAAAGTCTATCATTCCAGGACGTTCTAAAACAAACAGCAAACAATAAAAACAATTTCATTCTAATATATAGTATATCTATCATTAAAACAATAGCATTTGTTGGGGTTAAATGTCTGTAACAAACATGGAATAACCTATAGAGCTTTTGAGTTTTCTGCTGCTTAGGGATGACCTCAACTTTGACTCAATATTTATGAAAGTTGATGAAATTTCAAAGTGTTTGTATTGCTAAAGTTGTGGATACTCTAGTTTACTGTTGGTATTTGTGAATATTCTAGATCTGAAATTTAAATGTGGCTATGCCTGAATAAATGAGTCTATAATAAAGGCACACAGAGGTATTGTACAAATTTGAAAACTGTCTATATTCAAGAAAGATTTTTTATGATCAAACAGTAATTGACTCATTGATCAATTGTTGTGTCAGAAATTCTGACTTGGACTTTAGGTCTCRGGCTTATTCAGGTCAGATCAAATTGTCATATAGCATGATGGATTTTGTAGAGGAAAGGAAAAGCAGATAATGCAAGCCAGAGAAAACCCTTTTGACTCAAAGGAGAAGCTTACACTCCTCATATGTCACAGTCCAGGAATTGAACCAAATRTAAGGCTAGCTTCCAGTGTTACATGCAATGAATGAACATGCATTACTGCAGCTATATCCTTGCAAGCATTAGCCAGAACAATCTTGAACTGGAATGATGGCTTGATTTACAGCTATATGTATTTGTGTGTGTGTGTTATGGGAGGGGTGGGGGGTATGATTTTCTACTATCTAAATAATCATGGACTGTAAGGTGACTGCCTAATTTTGAATGTGATATCTATTTGAGCCCACGATGTGTAGGCACACAAAAACTGCCCAATAACTTTCAAAATTTYATTGAGGAACCATGCATGTTTTGAACTTCAAGGGGCCAAAACTCTCAAATTTTTGAGAGAAAAAATCTTTAAAAAAGGTTATTTTTAGTAGCCTGTCTTCCTGAAAAAACTATAGAAATATCAAAGCATAGTTAATATTAACTATTATTTTTGCTGATGCATTTATGTTCCAGTTTAATATACACAGCCGTGATTTCATAACTCCATACCCAAGCGCGTAAAAACTTGATTGTGTAAGAACAAAAGAGTACAAGGTACATGCATTTTTTATAGACTATAAAATCACATGCACAACAGCTGAATTAATCCTATACACCCACCAAATTAGAATATTATCCTTAGCATAGTAAAAAAGGTATTTTTTACTGAATTAACACTTAACTATATATATAAGCTTACCTGTATTACAGTCCCCTACAGTTACTTGCTTATAAAGAGCATAGATTTCTAGCATATCGGCATCGCTGGGTTTGGTAKCCAAGTTTTTGACTTCAGTCGCAGCTTTTTGGAATAACTGTTCAAATCAAAACAGAAATGCTTTCAGCATTAAAGTAAGAACTCATGTAGCTCGATCTTAAGTCAAACTTACCTCAGACATCTTTGAATGGGATGGAAATATCGCAATAAACTCACTAAACGGTGTTCTGCAATGGTTGAGGGCGTTTAGGTGTCAAGAACTTTGAATCCAGCTGACAGTGTGTACCAGTCTCCTCGATAAAAGTCTCATTTGACGGCAAAAGACGACAACCTTCGACAACCTTCCTATCAAGGACCTCAGGCTAAGATTGGAAAAATAAGAGACTAGTATAGGAAAAAATGGGGGTTTAGCATTGAAAAACATAAATGAATTATGAAAATGAATTTTCCTATATAATTTCTCTAAAATTTATGTGTATTTCTCTGCTCGCACACTGTCTATATCTTTGGTGGGTTCCCTGTGGGAATTTAGCCACTACCCGCAGCGCAGGGCAACGCGATGTCCCGCAGCGCATGGATCGTGGATCGGTTATTATGCTTAATCAACGACTCATTTGAAGTATACTTTGTAGGAGGAAGATTTAGATCTTTCAAATATACCTCCCCCCCTTCCTCCTTATTCCCATCGGTGCGCCAAGGTCCTGTCCCGCAGCTAGATCCCGCGCGCATCTTCCTTGCGATAGAAGACCGAAATGCTTTGCAGGCATCCCTGTAGGCTTTGCGTGCTTGTAGCAGGCAAGGTCGCCTAGCTGAAGGAAGGTTCGTAGAATATCATTTAGCGATGATGAAGAAGTAAAGCATAGGAATCTGTGTTTACTTTGAAGTTTCTTCTATTCCCACGCGTGCTGCTATGATGAAAGATGTCACTGAAGCCTCGAGTGGTGGATTTCAACTCGACTTGGAACAAGATATTGGAGACGCTTAAGGCTGTTCTGACGTTGGACAAGATACCTCGGCCTGTTTGGAATGACAGATTTTCGTATCCTTTCTGTACACTCTCATCAATTAAATTTACTCTTCTTAATCTAATTTTATCAGCTTGTGTATCCAAATAGTCCATATATATCCTTCCATTAAGATATAAAGTTTATTATTTACATATAGCGAACAATTTTAATTTCCAATTGAATTTTTAGTGTCAGATTCCTGTTTAATTTCATTCAGAACTGAACATTACGTCACGGCCACCAGTTATAAAACATCWTTTAGGAAGTTGAAATTGTTTTATCACCTTTATCTTTATTTAACGGTAGCTTTATTGAACTGGGGATTTAATTCCTAAGGTCGCTCATTAAGTTCTTTTGTGGATGCACCATATAATGACAAGCTTCTAAAGTCATACTTTATATGAGACATGAAATTTTTAAAAGCTGTCATTTCTAACCTTGGACTACCATTATTCCTCAGTAGTTTTCTTTGAGAAGAGTTTTGGATATCCCAAACACTCCATCTCTCCACCCTTTAACTGTGGTTTTGTTACTGTTTTACATAATGTATTATATCGACTAGTTAATGTTATTGCTCTATAATGTAAGAAGACTTTCATAGTCTTATGAAGTTTCTCAGCTTAATAAATTTTCATGAATGCAAGCTTAAAGTTCAAAGCTTTGATTATAATTGATTATAATTTGATTATAATTGTACTTTCTGTACTTTTAAGAAAATTTCCAGAAATCTTTCCCTTTCGAGTACCTGTTAGAGCTAAACTTGGAAAARCCAAGACAAACCAGACAGTATATACCTTATTGTGTTAGAAATAGTACGATATGTAGCAAAATACACTAATTACAAGTCTTTTGTTAAATTCAAACGAGATGGCAGCTATGAAAAACCAGCCATACTACTGTGAGAATGAAATATAGTCTTCTTAGTTTTCTATTTTTTAACAGTGGTTGGATACTAAAAAATAAATAAACTTATTGTCTTTTTCATTSGTTTTTTTATTTATACTGAATAAACCAGCTGTTTAGTATAAATGCTGCATAATACAATAATGGAGTAAATTCGTGCACCATAGTTTCCACTTTGTGTTGATAACCTGGAATCTAAAAATCTAAATTTATTTTACATGATATTTATTATTATGATAAAGAGTAATTTTCCTTCACCAGTGAAAGAATAGTCATCATATTGTAACAGAGTAGTAGAAACTAATTCCATTGTTTTCTTTTGTTCTGCTTTGACTGTTAATCACTAGTTATACAACTTTGTTTCATGGGCCAAGTAAAATCACTCTAACTTATTATTATAATGAGTGGTCCCAGAAAATTTCCATACCCCCACCATGGAGCAGGAATTTGTAAAAGAACCCTACTACCCCTAGGAACTTACAATTTTCTTCCATACAAACTCTGCAATTTTGTTCTTTCTCTGACCCCCCTCCCCTCCCCTCCAGAATTTCCAATTTCCTCCTTGGGTTGGGTATGTAGATATTTTCTGGAACTATACAATAGGCATTTTCCAAWTTTTCTTGAGTGACCAGGAAACAATGACTCAAAGCCTACGTGTAGGTTGGACTTGATGTGTTTATTGCATTCACTGTATTTTATCAATTCCAATCTCAAATTGGTGCTATATTTATTTTTCAACAATATTTACACAAGAGGACACCTCTTTTCATAAGCACTATATCTATATTTGAAAAAAATTGAAATATTAAATAAGCACTGATTGGCCTGCCACTGTGTTTGTATTGGCTGCACCTCGTGTTCCAACAATRTATGTGAATTCCTTAACAGCTAAAAAGTGATGTGTATGCATTATGTGTAGCATTTCCAGAACCTCTAGGTGAAAGACTATATGGTGAAGTAAAAACATTCTTAGAAGAACATGTTAAAAATCTTTATGAGGTATGATGTATATCAATGTCTCATGGCTGTCAATGTATATTATTAACTTTTTGTTGCTATGTTTATATCAGTAGTACATGAAAAGCAACCATTGAATTTAACAAAAACTAACATTTGTACTGTATATCATTTATTAGGAAGTCAGCAGCCCTAATGTGGACCTATTGCGAGAATATCACCATCACTGGATGCAGTATAGTCAAGGGTCAGCCTACATGAATCTTTTGTTTGGGTAAGGAAGACAGAGACAAGTTATCTTTGTATTGTAAACATATCTCTAATTAAATCTCTGTATGTCTTCACCTGGGTTGCACTTTATCAATAATGGTAGTGAATGTTTAGTTAATACTATAAATATATTTTAAATGGCACAATATAGTTAGAGAGTTTGACATACAGTACATGTACAGCTGTAGATCAATGGATGATTGTTACAAAAGGCTAAAAAAAYTGAATTTTTTTTGCATTTTAGTGAATAAGATATGATAATGTGTTCATTATATATTGATTTTTCTTCAATGTGTTATCCTAGGTATTTGAACCAGCATCTGAAGAAGCAAAAACAGGACTATGTGGAGATTTCTCCCTACACTGTCCCACCTTATAATCATGAAGCTATCAATATTGGGCCTGTAAGTACCATGTTAAGACATACTTCATATGGGGAAAAGAATGTACCATGATGATGGTTGCTGACTTACTTGGTTGTGATATAATTAGAAAATTAATTTATATCTTATTCATCATCTCAGTTCTAATTGTATGGCTGAAGACAAAATGTTACACTGTTATTTTCAGTTGCAAGTTTTTAAACTTGATATATATTAAGAGTAAATGGTTTGAACCCAGGTGTTGAAGTTTGTTGTGAAATGTGATCATCTGGGTGAGTGTAGTCTTCAGAAAGACTGTCGTCACCACCAACAACGGTCTTTCTCAAGACTACACTCATCTGGGTGAGTGTAGTCTTCAGAAAGACTGTCGTCACCACCAACAACGGTCTTTCTCAAGACTACACTCACCCAGATCACGTTTCACGACAAAAACTTGACATATATCAGTACACAGTGTGTCATTTTCAAAATTTTAGATATAAAAAACATGTAACTATGGTGAACCCATGAACAATAAACACCTTGAATGTCTGCTTGTAGTTTCAGTAATTTTTAATGCTCTGGTCTTGATCTTTTTAGCTTGCTCTGAACATATGGAAATCAACTATGATTGAACCACTAAAAGTTACTATTGTACACCATTTACTGATTGAGATGAAGAAGTGAGTGGATACACAAAATCATGGTCTTTTATTTGTTTGTATGACTTTGTTCAGTATATTTATTGCTCATGTTTTTTTTATTTTTCAGAGACAGAGATGGGGAAGGGACAAACCAGAACATTGTCCATGACACTATCAAGTCATTCGGTAAGCACTTCAAATTCAGAAATTCTACTTTAAACTTTTGATTTCACTCAGAAATGTTAGGACCAGCTTAATTAGGGACATCTTATGTTTCAAAATTTTAGACTATTTATTAGTTTAGTTTGACTAAATTTCTGTAATTCCCCCATTGAAACTTAAATCATAAGGCTTGATGTGATGTTAGTTGTTCTCTAAAAGTAGGCATAGGTAGCCCAGTGAATGGCTATAGGCTTTTCTGTTTTTCTTTTTAAATGTTTCTGCCGTCACAGTTTAACTAATATTTTTATTCCTATAGTATAAAGATATGGATTTTTATGTGGATATGAGTGCAACAAGTTAATTGTCTTTCATCTTATAGTTGGGGTGCAAGAGTATCAAACAAAAGGAGCACTTGGTGTAAGTAAATGATGTAATACCATACTTCTAGCATTCCAGTTAARTGGATAAAAATCCAGGATAGTCATCTAATATTTGTCATAAAAATTATTTCATTTTTTTAATAGCTTTATGAAAAGGTGTTTGAAAGAGAGATGCTCAAAGAGACCGGAGAATACTACAGAAGAGAAGCAGCTGAACTCATGGCTGAGAATGTTTGCTCTGTATATATTCAAAAGGTGAGTGCTAAACTAATAGTCAATCAATTGCGAGAGCAGCTTTATCATATTGTAAATACTTTGTAAAATTTTACATTAGAAATAWATAAACAAAGGACTTACATATACCGAGAACTGGGAATAGCAATAAATGATAAGATTTGGTAGAAATAAGGCGGGCATCTGAGATCTCGACCGAAGTCAAATGATGATGATGAAACCATGATGATGATGATGGATAAGAATGGCACRTATGTGTATGTTGGGAGCTGTAGAGTAATAGAGAAGTCATGGTACATGTAGATCTTATTTTTCATGAGGGTAAAGATCACTCATTCATTGCATGAACAGATAACTAGATACAATTTGAGATGTCTAGTTTTTTTCTTCAGCATTCAGAGTTAGTAATTTTCAAGTAGTAGAAGCTAAAACTCCAGACCTTTTGGGRTGTATTGGCCACGTAATTTTCTAAATTCACACAGTTTTGAGATCCCTTAAATATTCACACACTTAAGGTTCATTGTTTTCCTTCTTTTAACAGGTTGATCTAAGAATACAGGAAGAAGACTTGCGAGCTAGAAAATTCCTTCATCCTGTGTCCTACAGTAGGGTAATCAGAGAGTGTGAAGCTAAAATGGTGGAAGATTACATACCTTATTTACAAGCTGAGTGCCGGCAAATGGTCAGAGAAGAGAAAACCACAGGTTAGGAAAAGTTTTATATTTTCAAGGATCCCACTGCTTAAGTACTTCCTTCACTTGCCCCTAAACTTTTTCATAAACTTYAATATCCATTTTTGTATCAAAACTTATAGTGTACATGCTGTTTAGGCTTGTTATAGCTTGGGCACAATGTTTTGCCATTTCAGACCACTTTCATTCTCTTCAGAATTTGATTCTGTTTAGGTTGTGTATGCATACCTATTCATGTAATGCCTTCTCATGTAAACCATTAAACAAAGAATTATACTCAAGGGAATGTGATATTCTGAAATGGGGAAACATGGCAAGCTAAAAGGGTCAATACTGTACATGTACATGCCTCATAATAATGATGTCATGTGTTAAGTAAAATGCAATAACAGCACCCCAGATCATCTTGTCGACCATTTGTTGGTCTATATCTAATGGTTGCTCCATCAAAAGTTTACCATCACCCTGCCATTGTCTGGGTACTATGTATAAAATGTTCAGTACACATCTACATGTACACATAAGAACTATGCTTACAGCTATTACCAGTATTCAAGGTGTGTACATTATTTTTTCAGATTTGTCTAGGATGTACAAACTATTAAAACATATCCCAAGAGGTCTCATGGTCATGGTAACAGAACTAGAACAGCATGTTACAGAGACAGGTAAGTGTATATGTTATATATCACATCATATTATTTCTGCAAGTACAGTAGTTACTTCACCTCACARTGGTTCTCAATAGTATGCATTTTACTGTGATTCCCAGTCACACATGACTAATCACAAAAGAAAAATTGAATTTTGGAGGACAACAATCAAAAGGGTTTCTTAAACATGTCTAAGGATTCCRACTCCAAATTTCAAACGCTTAACTGCAAAGCTATCAGTACTGACTAACTTTTCTGATCTCCATGGCAATAGCTTTGCAGTCAAGCGTTTGAGATTCTGAGCCAGAATCCTGTGACTTTTTTGAGAAAATATATCCAGAGCGAGAAATTCACRGCGACAAGAAGCATGAGATAAAGGCAACAGGTTTTGCAAAGTCATGTTCATGTGAGTATTCATGCCAGTCCTGGTGTAGGAACCAATAGAAATGATAGAAACCCTTTTGRTTGACGTCCACCCAAACTCAATTTTTCGTTTGTGATGGTCTAGTTGGTCTCGTGTGACTGGGAATTGCAGTAAACACTTTCAGTAGTGGTTGATGTCTTTCATGACCCTTTCTTGTCCTGGTGACAAATTGTATGATTCAATGTTTGCCATTGAAAAAAACTGTAAGTCTCTAAAAACACAATCCCAAACTTCTTGTAACCTATCAGATTCTTTCTCTTCACAGGTCTTGGGAAAATCAAATCTGTCAACTTTGAAAGTGTAAGAATTGGTGCTTTGATTTCCTTCCAAAATCCATGTGTACTAAATCACTAAATCAATAAAAGTTTTTAGTGCATACTATCTAATATAATATACACTGTAGAGGTTATTAACCAGCCAGGAGGTCTGSATAGGGAAAACTRTTCCCAAGGTCTTGAACATAGGGAGCAAGGCAGTTAGGCCGAGGTTGGTTTTCAAGGCAAAGGTTAAAGTTTTCCCTCACTGGACCGACTTAAGGCCAGTAGTAACTTTTTCCCCTATTTACTTTTCCTGTTGTTTTGCAATCTTTTTTGTTGTTTAGAAATCTGTTACCCCAGGATAATGGACTGCAGTCAGAGATAGAAAATACCGCATGTTGGACAGCACATCAGAACACATGACTTTTAGGATACCTGAGCAGAAAAAAAATAATTGAATTTGATATTAACCTTGAACTTTTTGTTATTTTTAGGGGCCTTTTCAGTATGTTGACATAATGCTCGATGTTCATAATAAATTTACAAAATTGATAAATACAACTTTCCAAGGGGATTCAGCTTTCCATGCAGCCCTGGATAAGGTTGGTGTTATGATGGTTATCAACTGAGTCAATGTACTGCAACATGTGAAATTGAATGAAATTATTCAGTATTACAGGATTCTCAATTCAATGCTATTTAAACATCAAACATCACTTTATTTTTTCAGGCTTGCACTACAGTAGTTAACTACAGACATGACCCTAGAAGGTCATCAAAGTCTCCAGAGCTTGTAAGTCAAGAGATATATTAGCCATTCTGAGATAATTAAAGAGCTGGTTCAAGCTGGCACTGCAGTGCATTGAGGGACTGTTTCAGGGGACAAAATGGACGGCATCTTGGGATTATTGTCCAGATTATTCCTCAACCTCGGAATGGAACAATAGTGAGGCCATTTCAGGTTCATGGACTTCCAGAACACTTGAGAAGTGTCAAGAAGCACTCTGCTGCATGTTCTTATGTTCTGCCAACCTCCGCGTGCTTTGCGACTGCACACAGCGACAATTCTTACCTTTTTTTAATCTGCAAAGATTGTCAAACTATTCTCATAAGATAACAAAAATATTACTAAAAGAGAAGATAATACCCTCATGCATTATTCTTATTAATAAGAGATGGAAAGTTCAGCTGTGACATTTCTTTATCAGTAATTCTCATGCAATTTTCTCTTTCATTTTGTTTTAGTTGGCAAAATACTGTGACATAGTTCTCAAGAAAAGCACCAAGAACTTAACAGATGTTGARTTAGATGAGAAACTAAGTGAAGTAGTAAGTCCAATCAGAAGCAACATTTACTGTTATTAACACTGCTTTTATTGCTACTTGCTATTGAGACAACTGTTGCAACAGGGAAATTGGACAATAGACTTCTGTCAATCAGAGTATGTAAAGTTATAGAACAATGTATTTGATTGACAGTAGTCTATTTCCTGATTTCCCTGTTGCGACTGCTGTCTCATTCAGCACGTAGCAATAAAAACTATGGTAATATAAAAAGCTTACCATATACAATGCTAACACTGTCATTTGAACTTGATTCATTTCACCAGATAATTATATTCAAGTACATTGATGATAAAGATATTTTTCAGAAGGTACATATGAACAGGTTGCYCATTTCAGTAGACATGGACGTCATTGCCCCTTCTTGCCTTTTAGTTTTGAACACTTAAACTTTGGGATTTTTGGGGGGGGGGGGGTCGGGTCACTGGTTCGAGCCCTGCAGTTGTCACATGTGCATTGAGTTTGTTTGATGTATTGTTCTCTCCTGTGCTACGAGGGTTTTCTCCAGGTCCCCGGTTTTCTCCCTCCATAAAAATCAACATCTGAGTTGAGCGTTGTGTGCATAGAATATTGAATGTAGTGGTTAGTGTGTGTGAGCGAAGTGTCCCCAATCAGTGTGAAAGCCCTAGAACGAACAGACACTGATATTGCATGATGAACCTAAGAACATTAGCATAGGAGGTTATAATTTAGTACCCATAGTATGCTTTGACCTAAATTGTTTACTGCGTGCATTAGTTAGAGCTATTAATTGTCAGTCCACGTACATGCAATTAATTTATATAGTCTCATATATTGCAGTTAATGGTATGAGTGACAGATATTTTTGTTGTGTTTRCAGTTTTATTCTAAAATGTTGGCCAAGAGACTTATTCATAACTTATCTGTGTCTATGGATGCTGAAGAGGCCATGATAAGTAGATTGAAGGTAAATAATGGGCAATTTCAGGAAATCTTACAAGCATGGTGGTGTGTGCCGCCTTTCATCAATGCAACCCATGCAACCCATGAATCCTGGCTCAGTGTCATATGTCAGTAGGTTTGTTTGTGCTTCTGTCAAAACGTATCCAGCGAATACGGGCACCAAAAACGGAACTTTTTAAAAACACTCTGTGTGGAATTTTTTAAAAACGCTGTTTATCCTTGTTCATGTGAACGGGGGAAAACGCAACTTTTCGAAAACGCTGATGTCACAGATTGGAGCTAGTCTCAGAATATTTATGATAAGCGCATGCTCTATGAAGGCTAATGTTTCACTAGTATTTTGTGGATACGTGATGATGAGTGCATGCTCTATGAAGGCTAATGTTTCTCTAGTCATAATTTGTGGATACGTTATGATGAGCGCATGCTCTATGAAGGCTAATGTTTCTCTAGTCATAATTTGTGGATACGTGCTGATGAGCGCATGCTCTATGAAGACTAATGTTTCCCTAGTCGTATTTTGTGGATACGTGCTGATGAGCGCATGCTAAAAATGATCTAAAAAAGTTAATGTGGACGAGGAAAATTTTAAAAATGGTTTAAAAAGTTTGCGTTTAAATGCAAAATCGGATACGTGTGGACAAGGTCTAAAGTAACTAATTAACAGGGCCCTGGCCAAATAAGGAAATTTGGCTAGACAAATGCCAATTTCAGCCTGAGTTGTCTGTTGATATGGCCTTTTTTTAGCTGGGTTCAAATGAAAAAAAGTCTCAAAATGTTCTTGATTATTTGCTTAGCCTTGCTTGTGTAGTTGTCACTCTGCATGACGGAAGTCAAAGGAGAAATTAAAATTTAAACTGAAAAGAGTTGACAGAGACTGAGGAAATAGTGAAGAATGGGTATGTGTACCCCTTCAGTAGTTATTGGTAGGTTGTAGGATGTTGCAGCCTGGTTGACTCTGATATCATACTAATACCATACTAATATTATACTATATTGTACTGATATTCCTGTTTTCTTCGTATATTTCAGCATGCATGTGGGTATGAGTACACCAACAAACTGCACAGAATGTTTACTGATATGAGCATCAGTTTAGACTTGAACTCAAGTTTTAGTGATTTTTTATCTAATTCCTCGGTAGATCTTGGAATAAGCTTCTCTTTACTTGTATTACAGGTAAGATCTAAAAACAATGTTAATAGTTATCTGTAATGTATATCAATATATGTCACAATACCGTAGTCCATGGTATTTTTTTTAAACGCCTTGAAATCTACTGTAAGTCGTAATCCAYTTGAAATGCCTTTGGAAAGGTAAAGAAATAGTTCCTAACGTTGAAAATGTCCTTCATTACTCCTTAAAATGGCAAATGTGGGTGTGACATGGTAGTGATAAAATAATCAATTACATAATCCATGAGTATGAGAAAGTAACAATATTCAAGCATAATGTAGAATGCCATTGATTACSCTTGTTGCCAAGGTTGTGAAAGAATGAGAGAAGGAAAAAGGGTGGCAGGGGGAGAAAGGGTAGGGAATCCTTGGAAATTAAACCATATTATTCTTTGATCCAATATTTTGTAATAGTTGTTTTACCGCTTAAAAAGTAGGTGATGGTTGTCTTTTCTATTGTAGTCAGGTGCATGGCCACTTGGACAAACCTCTATCTCTCCCATCAACATACCACAAGAATTAATAAAGCCTGTTCAGATGGTAAGATAATCAAGAAGATTTGACTTTTAATTTGACATTAAAATGCAAATAGAGTTGTAATGGCATTAAATTAAGGGTCGTATAGTGGTCGTTCTCTCAATCAATCAATTTTTATTCACACACAATATTTACAATTTTTTGTTTACATTACTAGTTTAGAAAATTTATTGGACAAAGTTAAAAAACGTAATGACATATATATTATGGAAAATAATAAATAAATAATAATGTGTGTGTGTGTGGTTGTTGAAGTAGTTAAGAACTTTCGAGTCAACAACCACACAACCACAGTCTCCACTCACCTCTGGAGTGTCTCCCTTGATTCTTGAGTTTTTTCTCTGGGTTSTCCAGTTTTTCCTCTCTTTACAAAACCTAACATGCTAAATTTTAATTCAATCTGTGAATTACCTGTGTTCTGACTTTGATCAGCCTAGAAGTTGTTKTTTTGTKTKTGTKTKTTKTTTTKGTAAGGGAGGTGAAACCAGAGAAAGCCTCTCAAATAAATCAAGACAGAGATTGACTAAAAAATGTTTACCCACATTTGATGGTGAATCCAGGAATCCAACACCCCAGGGGAGTGGTGAGTGCACTATCTCTAACTCATCCATAATTGATTTTTTATTTGGCCACTTGTTTATGCTTATTTATAGTTTGAACAGTTCTACAATGGGAAGTTCAATGGCCGTAAGCTCAATTGGCTACAACACTTGTCGAATGGTAAGGCAACAAACACTATATCATGGGCCACTTTGCATGGATTAAAAAAAATATTTTATACATATYTCTCATGGATCAATTCCCAAACAAAGTGCAGGCAGTTTGAAAAAGAAGCCTTGTGAGAACACTAGCCTGGAAATCGAATTATACATTACTGTAGATGTGATTTAAGTCACTGTTGTTTTTCTAGGTGAAGTCAAAGTGAACTACTTCAAACGTCCTTTGATACTGACTGTATCAACATATCAAATGGTAGTACTGTTATTGTTCAATGAAAGAACTCGACTTACATATAGGTAGGTATCTCTTGTCATGCCTTGATATCCCTTGCTTATCAAGACACTGAATTGTGTACTGTGGCATCTGTGTTCTCCCTTCTTAGGGAGAATAAATAGGGTCAATAATGACCCCTCCAAGGAAGGAAAAGAGGAAGAGTGAATACCAAATACTGCAAGAGTAAAGATATTATCCCACAGTGCTTACTTGCTCAGTGTAACGACTTTGAAGAAAACTAAGTCGCGTAATGTAAGAGCTGAATTTTATTTATTTCTGTATGCTTGTTTCGTTTTAGTGAGATCGAAGTCCAAACACAGCTGATTGATAAAGAGCTTGTCAGAATAATACAATCACTTATTGATGTCAAGCTTCTAGAAAAGTCTGAAGTGAGTAAATGATATATACTGTAACAATGTGTATAATACACGTGCAAATAGAATGAAGAACGGACAACATTGGATAGAGAGAAAGAGGATGCTAGAAAATAAAGATAATAAATTAATATAAATAATAAATTAATATAATTAATTAAGTAATAAATGAATATAACAGATCTATCTCAACAGTTTTGTCCACGATTGTAACAAATGTTGTAAGTATTTCAATAGTATARTGCTTTGGATGTATTGATTTATGCGTCGACTTTCACGTGCAGGACGAAGAGATGGCCAATTCTACATTCTGGATTAATTCGAATTTTACGAGTAAAAGAACTAAACTGAAGATCACTTCTGCTGTGCAGAGGGAAGCACCACAGGTTAGTGTCATTCAGGGTGTCTGTCTGTCTTCTGGCCTCTCCGTCAATCTAACTGCCTGTCTGTATGCCTGGTTGCCTATCTGTATGTCTTTCTGTATGTCTGCTTGTCTGCTGTTTTTCTGGTCTGAGTGTCTGTCTTTCTGGTCTGAGTGTCTGTCTTTCTGGTCTGAGTGTCTGTATTTCTGGTCTGTCTGCTGTCTGTTTGCCTGCATTTCTGCCTATCCGTTGGTCCATCTAACTGCCTGTCTGTATATCTAAATGGCCATCTTTATGTCTGACTGTCTTTCTGCTGTCTGTCTGTCTTCTGTCCTCTCCGTCAATCTAACTGCCTGTCTGTATGTCTGGCTGCCTATTTTTATGTCTTTCTGTATGGCTGCTTGTCTGCTGTCTTTCTGGTCTGAGTGTCTGCCTGTCTTTCTGGTCTGTCTGCTGTGTTTGCCTGCATTCCTCCTTGTCCGTCCGTCCTTCTAACTGCTTGTCTGTATATCTAAATGGCCATCTTTATGTCTGACTGTCTTTCTGCTGTCTGTCTGTCTTAGTGGTTTGTCTATCTATTTGCTGTCAGTTTGCATGTCTATCAGTCCTTTCGTCACTTATTGTCATGTTATTGCCATACTTTAATGATCTCATGCTGCTCTTGTGTTGGGGTATTGTCTTATTTTTTTGTTACCATGTGTGTTGTTGTTGCTTTCAAACCCTTTTTCACCTTTTTTCATATGATAGTTGCCTCCTCGACTGCAATGTTATCATTGTCGTTACTTTTGTCATTATTGATCTCAAAGCCCTTACTTTTTTAACAGGAATCTGAACAAACTCTTGTGTCAGTTGATGAAGACAGAAAAATGTATCTTCAGGTAAACTATTAGTACAAACATTGAGAGGCACTTCAGTAAMTCCTTTTACTCGACCCATAATCGTGCTTTGGTTCCTTTTTCTTCTTCCTGGTATTGGTGTTTATGTTTGTTTAATATTTTTCTTAAAGGCTGCAATTGTTAGGATAATGAAATCAAGAAAAGTTTTAAAACACAATTCTTTAATACAAGAGGTAATGTCAAAGTCTTTTTGAAATCCTTGGAAATTTAACTGTAAGTTTTCGTTTCCCTGTCGATTATTTTAAGGCAATTGCGTCTTTTTTTGCACTATTCTCTTTTTAGGTTATCAGCCAGTCTCGTGCTCGATTTACACCCAATATACCAATGATTAAGGTAGGAAAAATGAATGAACCAGTATGAAAATGTGAAAACCAACAAACAAGTGGACAGATGAATGGTTATATAAATAAATAAACAGAGGGAGGGAGGGAGGGAGGGAAAGAAAGAAAGAGGGATGGATGGATGAATGGATAGATGAATGAATGAATAAAAAATATTAATGCGTCTTCATCTAAATAAATATTGTTGCTATTTCTCGTTTCCAAGAAATGTATAGAAGCACTGATCGAGAAGCAGTACCTTGAGAGAAAAGAAGGAACAAAGGAAGAATACACATACGTTGCTTGACCTGTCCAACACATCGAGTAACAACTAACTAAAACGACTCTAAAAGCCACAGCAGACAGCACTCACAGTTAACTTTTGAAGAGTCTCTTAACCACTCTTCATAAAAAATTCCCGGAAAAACCGAAACACCATGGACAGCTATAGTATGTTGGCATATCAAGTGAACTGGACCGCAAGAAGAACGTTTGCATCGCTTGATGCCAAAGTAGGAAAAGCCACAGCATTATTTGATGACTACGCCAAGTATTGAATTACTGACACCATTTTCATAATAGCACGACAAAGTAGTTTTGAAACGAAAAACAGCGCAGTTTAACCCATCACCTCCCTCCCTGCTACGCAGCTTAAAATTGAGACTTTCAATGCGTGACTTGAAAAAGGGTACAAAATTGCACCATTGTAGGCTAGCCTCCGTACCCTCAAATCTYCCCCTCCTTTTTCCCTTTTTCCCATTCTACCTCATCCAGAATGCCCCTATGCAGGCTAAACTCTAGCCACARCTTCCTGCGGTTTTTGTTTCCATTGATCAAAATGTCAAAGATATAAGTGATTCGAATTTTTGAGTCGCGCAATTTTACACCTCAACTCGTCTGGGTCAGATGATTATGGCAATGGATATAACTTGAAAGGGTTGTATCGTAAGGACAAAAGAATTTTTAAACGACTGAACTTGTAAACTTAGGCTTATTTACTATCATGTATATTAAATACCTTGCATTTTGCGTGTACTTTCTAGATGCTTCGGTTCAYATGGTATCACCTGGGSCYGGTTGTACGAARGSTGGATAGCGCTATCCATCGTATAACTCYTTRWACAGTGGATWTAAGTCGATGCTGTTATCGAATAAATTTATCCACTGSATAAGATTTATCACGCTTCGTACAACTGGGTCCAGAATCGGTAGAGTAAATAACGGTTACTACCTTTTATCCTGTTTTCTTGTTTCCATGGTTATCATGAACATGATTAACACTCTTAAAAAGTTCGCAGTTTCCAAAGTTTGAACTTAGCATAGTCAAATGAACATATGAATATATTAATGGGGCCTTTTCTAGTACTACTGGAAAAAGAGCGCCTAAAATATCAGGTTTAGTATAGAATCCGAATCAGTATCGACAAATGACGTAAGTTGATTTTATGCCTTGACAATTCGCATTACTGTATTTGAAATATCAAAGCTGCGCTTTTGGCAAGGGGCAGCAAAACTAACCTTCTCAATAATTGGCTTTTACCCATACCCCAAGTATGTTTATTCGAAACTTCCCATCAGTGTTACGGTCCACCTGGGTGAGTATTTTAACTGGATTCTCTAACTTCACCTACAAAACCCCCATTTTGCCTGGCAGAGAAAATGGCGTTTTTCTTAGAATTTCATTGCCTCCGGCGTGCAGTGCATTATAGTTGACTAGGATTCTTTAACCAAGAAACCTGTGCAAGATATCGATAATCAGGATTGTCTTTTTTTCCGCTTTTCCTTTTGGTAGTCATTTCCATTTGAGAAGCAGACCAATCTCATTCCCGCCCCCTTAAAAAAGAAAAAGAAAAGAAAAGGAAAAAGAAAGAAAAAGCAGAGATGCCTTTTTTTCTCTGTTTGTAAGAGGAATAATAATAGCCTCGTGAYTGCGAAAAGAAACTTGAGTGACAACAGCTAGACCATTAGTTTCGTAGGACAGGTAACGCGATATTTTGTTAATTTGTCTGAAGATCTGTTAGTGATATTAGCAGTGTTTTTATCAGATTTTTAGTTTCCTGATCAAAAAAGACATTTAGAATACAATCTATTTTACAAAGTGAACATCGCAGAACCAGAATTTAAGGGAAAAAACTATTAAATAGGTGACAGAAGTAGTTCCGAAATCACTCGCTTCACTAAATTATCCAGTCAAAACAAACGTGACAACAAACTCGTCTTCCTTATTTGAATCAGTTGAATGTGGTATGAAAGGGATTCAAAAATGTATCCCTATATATGATAAGGACATTTTAGAGAAAAAAAATTTTTCAACGATATCTGGGAGATCGCAGGAGATCTATAGAGGGAGACTAGTACTYGTAGGTCAACTATACACCTCTATTTTGGTGCCGTTTACTATTTAGGACTGTTTTCATAACTAATGCAGTATTCAAAACTGTCAAAAGTGATACAGTTCATCACCATTCATTATTAYTCCCAATTTCAGATCGCTTTTGTTATTATCAGGCTTTAAATTTGTTGGCTTCTGACTCACAGGCATTGAGAAAACCTGGTCGCGTGCGACGATTGAATACTAATGTGTCTATAATGTCACCATTCAGTTACATGTTCTGTCTTCGTAATCACTACGCCCCGCCTACAGTGATTTAGAAGTTCCATTAGCTTTACATACATTTTATTAGTGTAAGCATCTGATACTGGAGTAGAACCGCGMTTTTCATGTGAAAGCAACTGACTTTTTTGCAACAAGCTGCAGCGAAGTCCACCATCTAGACGTCCAGGCCAGCCAATCTAGGTAAGACTATTGCTTAAAAAAGACACCCATCTATGCATGRGAATATAGCTTAACATGTTTAAACAGTAATTTATTCGCATCAGTGAGTGTGAAAGTATAAGGGTAAAGAACATGCCTTTCTCCTTTTACCTATTCGTTTCCACCGTCTTCATACTTTTTCCTATCAAACTTGACAATGACTAAATCAAAATACAGTCGAGCAAGCGACTGACTGCACCATTCGGGTGCGCCGGCTACAGCGATCATTTTTCTATGGATCTTTCGACTTTTGACAAATATCGTTTCATAATATATCGTTTGTCCGGCCCGGCTTCATATCTAAAACTAGCCAGTAAAGTAAGAAAAGCGCTAAATATTACTATATGTATAAACTCATTTTGTGTATTCATTAAAACCTCGATCAGACATAGTTAATATTAACTATGTTCAGAAATTCCAAAGAAGGCACCACAAAATTGACTTTGTCACCGATATACTCGGTTCGAACCGTTCTACATAGCTAAACCTATCCATGTTTCTTTGCTATATACAAATGTAGGATGAGAATTCTTAGCGGAAAATGGTACTTAGGTCGACAGTGCGACCTATTAAGGTAATGGTAATGGTTCTATTAAGGTAATTATTAGCTACAACCAAAGGACAAAATGGAACCTCACGCGCCTATGGTATTGTAGACATAACAAACCACATTAAAACGAATMTCAATTAGTTTTTAATATGACTGCAAATTCTTTAGAATTTGAGCTAAGAAGTGGGGAAAAGCTAGAACGTCAATCAAGACTGTGCAAGTGCTACGCAATGTTATTAACGAGGGTCGATGACACCATACGTGTCAACATTTTATGAAGTCGGCAGGATAAAGTTAGGAAAAGGAGTGGAATGTATGAGTATTTTGTCACGAAGTTCAAGATAAAGAACCTTAGAGCTGACGAAAAATGGTCTGGGGGCCTGGATTGGCCAATGATCGGCTGACAACRCAACTTGCGTGACTTATCGTTGAGTTTAAATTTTGATCAGTCGATATCCCCTTCCACTGAGTTATCTGGAGTAAGCGTGACAAACCATATCATCACGCGATATCTCGCGCGTTCTTTGGCCATACAATGATCCCAGTAAAATCTGAGCTGCATAATTCTAAATACTCTTTTACTTATCTACTTGATCGTTATGGATTTCACTTAAGCTTGTTGCCTGTGGAAGCCCAGTCTAAAARTGCATGCGTTGCGTGTCTTCAAAATTGCGCAATAGTAACCAGGGGTCTTCACGGYACTACCCAAGAGTCCTTTGCAGACATATGATACAGAGATCCCGTGTAAAGTCTGATTTATATTCAGGTGACAGTTTCAAATCAATTTATCAGTCTAATTTATCAAAGTGATTGATTGGGTGTGGGGCTGCAAATCACGTGTCGCAAAGTAATGTCTACGCATATTCGTTTTTCGCTAGTTACTGAAATTCAAGGCTCAGTGCAGGTTTAGRAATTTAATAGGGTTTATAAACTGACCAAAAAAGTTAAAGATGCTGTGAAAATATCTTTTTTTATTTATTTGTCTACTCAAATTTTTAATTTAGCTTCTGACAGCAGTATTCTATACAGAAAGAGCCTAAGGTTAATAGCTCAGTTTGGCCGGCAGTTTCTTTTATTTCCCCAAGAATCTTGGATTTTCCTCTGCTAGCTATACTAGATTTCAATTTGACGGATTTGGGTAGACAGGAATAGGTTACTCAAAAATCTATTATTTTGAGAATCAAAAAAGAAAAACGGAAAAAAGGAGCAAAACCATGAGCAGGTCAGTATAACGTCACCCATCCAAGTGCTAACCCTCCCCAGACGAGCTTGACTTAGCATTTCGAACGATCACGACGATTTATCCACTGSACCACGGTTCCAGGTGAATCAGCATAACAATAGCCGTGAAAACAATGCCCCGAATAGACTAGACTTTTTAACATGATTTTTTCAACCGATTCCGTGCGTGGCAGAGATGCAAGGGATTAGCCGATATGGTCTGGGGGCCGGCTGGTCTCTCCCCTGATGCTTTGGCTAGAACATTTTCTTGCATAATTCGTACACCCAAGGGCAGAAGGATTTAATCGCCGTCAGGTCCGAAGTCCATACGCCGCCTCAGCTCTGCGGATGTCTCGGGGGTATGGCACAGTGGAATCGTTTTTTGTTTTTTTTTTAATTTCTTTTGGTGGGTTCGAATCGCGTCTTATCCACATAATTTTTTTCTTCACTTAAATCCATAGTTTTAAATATTCAATTATAAGGAAATCTTTTAAGTGAAAAATATTTATTCCTATTCGGTTGCCGTATAAGCCTGTATAAGTTGGATCAGTCGTTATCAGTCATATAAGCAATATCGATCCGCGATAAGTAGACCTATACTTTCCTATCTTTACTGGCAAAGTTTACGGACAAGAACWAACATTTAATGCACTTGAATCATCATATGCCCGCAAAGGACTATTGGGTGGTACCGTGAAGACCTCTGGGTACTATTGCGAAATTTCTACATAATATTATAACAAAGGATGGTAAAAAGATAAGAAAATTAATTGGTGATTCTGACTGAGAACATTGGGATATTTGATCTAGCTTTTTGCGTTATGGCGCAAGACCAAATTCACAAGTAGTAAGACATGCATAACGCAAAACTGTTTATTTTGTGGCCTAAAAACGGGGCAAAACCTGCGATTATTTTAAATGTAGAGAACACTACCTTAAAGGAGAAGATCGTCTTAGACGAGTTAAACGAAATCTGATTCTTTTATGTGAAACATTCCGTTATCTTTTTGCTAAATTTGCAAACTTCTTCARCTGTACATGGCTTGCATGATACAGGCAACCCAGTGAACGCCTATAAGGCRTCTTGTTTTTAATGCAAATAGAAGAAAGGAAATTARGTTTTGTCTATATGCACATAACCAGGGAAAGAAACCTTACCGCAGGTGTGCGCTTGACGTTTTCCCCCGTTTTCAATCGACTTGTCACTTTATTCCTTTTCGTTGATTTTTTTTTTTTTTTTTTTTTTGAACTTCTTGTGAGAATGACACTATTTTAAAATAATGACGTTACTGTAGGGCAGGTTATTTCTTTTTAATGCTTTAACTAAGTAAATATGTGCTGACCAGGAGAAACTCAGGCTCTGGGGACGAGATTGAATCAAGGCTCCTAGTTATTTCGTCGAGCTTGCGCAGTAAGAAATGAGTGCTCCTGGGTCCTGGGACGAAAACAGTTAAACTTCCTTTCTATCTAGTGGCCAATCTCTAGTCTGATTTCAGGCCTTTCTTCTGATACCTCGGCTGCGTTTGTTTCCAGTAGCATTTTTACTGCATTCCCACTAACTCGATCAAAGATTGTGGTGACCTTGATCGTTTCAACGAAAATGTGAAGCATTTAAAGCATTCAGATTAAGCTTTCCGCGCATTCATTCAGTAGAGGAAGTTGTGGTTTACCGGTTATATTTTTTCAATTAAACCACAGCACAATAATTGCTTTATATGATCGGTATATGAAAAGATTTCAAAAAAGCTATAACCTTAACTATAACTATATCTGACAGGTTAATTGTGGTCTTACAGAACCTGAAGCTTTGACAATAAATTGGGACAAAAAATGGGATATATACACTAATTTAGGCTAACATCATAGTTAAAGGGGAAAGGGTCCTGTCTACGTTGGTCAATTTTCTACAGAAATGGAAATGTCTGCTGTATGTTTGTTTTGAAAAAGACTTTCATATAGTAATCAGTCTGTAAACATAAATAAATATATACATATATATAAATAGATGATAGATAAAGTTCACCGGATGCATTTCGCTGGTTGTTAGTGTTAACTCCCCAAAATATGTGACCTTCTCAAAAGCCGGATTTAAGTCCCGCAACGAGGAATTTGTGTTTCATTTTACTCGACTACTTCTGCGCGGATATTATCTGGTGGTCTGTCGACTGATTGTAAAGTTCTGTTGATCTTACGTTCGTGGGCTGTGAATAAACAAGGCACTTTTATTTCACAAGGTATGTGGTTCTACCTGTGATATTTAGTAGAAWTATCACTGGGGTCTTTTTACATCGTTTTCTCACCATTGACCATTTATGAACATGATCAGACCAAGATAAAAAGCCATAACTACAGCCATATTTTAAAAGGTTGTTTTTCATATGAATCACTTACTTTGTTGATKAATACATTATACTATACATTATATTACCGTATATATTGAAACGCTCCGAACGGAAAATACGAGGAAAGTGTCACGGTTCTGTATGTTTACACTAAAAGAGAGACATATTCTGCATGATGATATTCTGTAATTTATCAGCTTCAAAACTGATTTAAAAGATATTAACTTGAGTTTAATAAATTTAACACTTGTTTTAGATAAGAAGACTCAAGATATGTAATTCCTTTCTTACTATCGTGCCCTTCACAAAACGTTTGGGCATACCGTACAGATCACAGTGTTCGGCTGTATAGTMGTAGTGATGATTGTTTTTGAAATGGCTTTTTATATCAGTAATTTTTGTATAGATTACCAGGCATCATTCAGAAAAGCATCGAGTGTCTGCAGTTGATCTTTCATTAAAGTTATGCCTCAAAATGAAAACTATTATAGAGCTTTTTTCAATGCAAGTACCTTGAAGGATTTAATAGGAGTATTTTACAAAATCCCTGTAMCACATTCTGGCGACCTTAACATTGAAAGAGGAAAGTCTAGATATGAACGAGAAAGGATGTCTTTGATTCGATTTTTCAAGGTTTTTGCATCTAATACGTGCCGATTCGTCACATGGTAATCAGTTCTTCTATTTAACTTGGCCTACAAGCATCTTGCCTACTTAACCTTCAATTGAGATTCTAAAAATAGAACGGCCATGGTTATTATTAGACAGCAAATGCGTGCATCAGASAGCACCGTGCTTTGTATCATTTGATTTGTCTGGACTGTCACAAAGATATTTGATGTCATGTGCAAGACGTAACTTAGGTCACATAGATATCTTCTTTTCATTAAGTCAGTAGTGTACAGGTTCTTTCTACAGGGACGTAACTACGTACTGGTGCGCAGTTTAGTAATTACCCTGGGGGGAGGGGGGGGGGGTAAAATGGTAAAAAAAAAGAGCGGGGATTTTTTTCTTCAAAAAAAAAATGGTACACGCTTTTACAGGAAGAGCCGAAAAAAATGGGCAAAATGGACCCGGAAAGTGGATTACTTCGATGGAAAGACCGAGTTTTCCGAAACATTTCGATGGGAATGACACGTACCATTTGAATTTGCAGGGTAAATGGTAAGCGCCCCTGGTTTCAACCACTACTATTAGGAGCGGCTTTCCCGAATAGGGATAACTTCAGTTAAAAAATATCGTGTGAGTTAATTCATCTTTTGAAGATTTCACAATATTTTAATCCGATGTAATCCTCGTAAACTTTTCATTCCAATCTTTCAATTGGGTTTTGTTTTTTTATGAGACAGGCCTGATTTAATTGTAATCTATGCCAGGGAATAGTAATAGTATATTAGAGAACAATATAGCACTGTAATATCTGTGGAATATATGATCATGTTAAAATCGCTCCATCCTCTCCGATCCATTCCTTCCCTACCGCCCCAGCGGTAAAATATCAACTTCCATTCTCTCTCCCTCCCTCCATCATCCATTCCTCCATCCCTCCACGATCTCTCCATCAATCCCTCCCATTCATCCATTCCATCATTCATTCGTTCATTGACTCGATGATTCATATTA